CCTTTTCTCGCTCTCTTTCAGCGGAGCTGGCCCCGCCAATATATAATGGCTCTCAGATGTAATTCTGTGCTGCCGGTTCTCGTACTCTTGGTCCCCGCAAACTGTAAAAACATCTACAAATCGGTCGCTACCCTACTGTTTTCTTGAACCGAAAGCCATTCCGAAATATCTGTCTGCTGGACGTGAAAATCATAACATTATGGCATCTGCTTCTAAGCATATCAGGAAAGGTACCAATTAAGAACTCGTTACATAAATCTCCTTGACAAATTAAATGGCTTCATTTCTGTTGAAGCAAAAATGCAACTACGACATGAAGGCCACATACAAATAGATTGTCCCATTACGGCGTGCCATATTTTACAACACTAGAGGACTTACAGTCGAGAACTTGCTCTTTGCTATTTCCTGGGGGTTGTTTTATTTATTTCCCGTCCCATAAAATCTTCAAATGGGCGAACAGACTTGAAGGGATTTTCATTCTGGATGCGTGTTTTCTTTTCTTTTGTTTATAGCACAGTAGTAATGAAATAGCATCAGCCTGGCCTTTTGAGATTGGCAGTATTTACCCCCCCCCGGTTATTATTTTCCAGCTTGCCATGACCGACGATCAAGTGAAATATAATATACAGAATGAGACTTTTTTTTAATGGCAAATTACCCTAAGTATTAGTCTAGCATCTACGTTTGTCGCGGCCGCGACTTTAGGCAAATTTTGGTCCGCGAATGCCTACCGCGATTTTTGCATTTTAAAAAAAAAAAGAAACCATTAAAAAAAACCCACACCGCACGCGAATATAAAATCGAAAAACAAACCCCGGGGAATAACAATCGAGAAACTTAAAAAAGAAGACATAAATCTACCAAAAAAGGAAAAAGAAAGAAAGAAAGAAACCGAACCTCATTAACTTTACTTTTAGTTTTAGAAAGAAAAACTAGAAAGTTTACTTTCACTTCCGCTTCATTTCGTCTCTTTCTCACTTGTTGACACCACGTTGATTTATTATTTTCAATGGAATTTCTTGTGAAGAATAGGTAGGCCTACATTACCTACTAATGTATTGCTGTTTCCCTTTAATTTGTCCCTCTTTATTGTGTTTTAATTTTCCTTGTTATAGTTCTGATGTGTTTTGTTGGGGATTTTTTGTAGTTCCTTTTTATTTGGTGGGGGGGGTTTTTTGGTAAGTGTGTTAGGGCGTTCGCAACTGCACATGGTCATATGAGCGCGCGGGACACGTTAAACTTTTTCAGTTGGTAGGAATTTGAATTTTGCCCGCGTGGCGGCCGCAGCCTACTCTTATCGATGTTAGACCACCAAGGGATCTTTAACGTGCGCAAGTTGCACACGAGACCTCCCATATTGTTCGCCCTTGTCCGAGAAGGCTAGGTGTAGATCTTTCCTACCAGAAGATAAAGGGTGTGGCTGAAAGACAGCAGTAAAAAGGAGCCACGGAGTAGCAGTAGAAAGGCTGCAGAAAGAGTCAGGAGCCCAGAGGAGGGGACAAAGGAAATTATGGGGTGGGGACAGGAAGAGGAGACGAAAGCAGACGATAGAACAATGCTAGAGAGCAGGAAAGGAGCTGAAAGGAGACAATTCTGGATAGGAGTAGAAAATTGTTTTCGCTCGCTACCCGGATTCGAACCCGGGACCTTTGAATGAGCGGCTAACACCTTAACCTCCAGGCCATGAGAGCCTCCGTTTTTTATGTTTAGATCTATATTGCGTATGTCAATTATTTTGATGTTTCCACCTTTAACACACACGTCTTTATTTGTTAATTTTTGTAGTTGTTTATGTGCTGTTCTAATTTTGATTTCATTCTGTTGTGAAAGCTTTATTTTTCACGTTTTACATCCTGTGTGGCTACAAATGATATTCTGGTTGCATAAAACAGAATACAAGAAATTCTGGTGTTTTTCACCTTCTTTCCTTCTCTTTTGCAATATATTCTGTCGTCTGATTTCATCTCCGCTTTCTTCCCCCACCCCTCACCCTCTTTGCCCCCTCCATTGGGCTCCTGACTCTTTCTGCAACATTTCAACTGCTACTCCTTGGCTCCTTCTTACAGCTGTCTTTCAGCCACACCCCTGATCTTCTGGTAGGAAAGA